CTCTTTCATTTCTTTTCAAGTCATTCTTTTGGAGGATGATTTCATTGTTGTAAGTGGGACATTAAATGAGAAAAGCGAAAAGATGATCAATAAGGATGTTTCATATCCGGTTTTTGGTTCTTTTGATTAGTGAGTTGACCCAACGTCTTGTTAGAGACGTTAAATACTAGTATTCGTAGAGTTTTACAACTCTATTCCTCCCTCATTTCTATTTTAAAATTCATTTCTTGCGAAGCCTAGATATTTGCTTTGGGTTCATATGCATTGCTAGGAACTGTGATAAGGATTGCATGAGCTTTCATGTTGAAATTGAGCATTTTGCATAAGTTCGATCGATCTCAAATGAGAGTTCGATCGATCGAACTTCATTCCTATAGCGAACCTGCATCACTCTCTGTCTCATCGATCCAAGAAAATCTTCAGATCTCAGTTCTCAGTTAGATCGATCAGAAGACCTTCGATCGATCTAAACATCAAGTTCGATCGATCTTGAGTTTCAACACTTAGAAAAATTTTGAGCCTGCATAAACCTGCATATTTAAGCTCTCTGTCCCATCGATCGAAAATATTTCAAGATTGATCTGAAGTTTTTCGATCGATCCAACTTCATTATTGGATCGATCTTAAGTTTCAACACTTAGAAAATTTTTGAACCCAAAAACCTGCATATTTTCACCTCTTTGTTAGATCGATCGAGCATTTTGTCAGATCGATCAAACATCTCTACAGGTTTTGAAAATTTATTTTTACTTTTACTTTTATTTTTACTTTTGTTTATATTTCAAAAATCCCAAAAATATTTATTTTATTTTATTTGGTTTAGTTTATTTTATTTTATTTTATTTTTCATTAAAAAAAAAAATCCAAAAATATTTTGTTTAACTTTAATTTTTAATTTTTGTTAATTTTTAATTTTTAATTTCGAAAAATAAAAAAAAAATAAATAAATAATTTTTTTTTCTTTGCATTCTTTATTTTCTTACATTTTTATTTCTTGCCTTTTTATTTTTGTTTGTGTACATATTTGTTTTGTCTAAAAAAAAATAATAATAAAAAAAAAAACAGTTTTTCAATGTAGCATTCCATTTTGCTAGAGACGTTAAACTTAGCACCCACATGACACATTGTGTCTTTTATCTTTTGTATAACTCAGGTTCATTTGCATTTTTATTTCTTTATTTTTCTTACATTTTGTTTCATTGTACATTCTTTCATAAAAAAAAAAAAAAAATGTGAAAAACAAAAAGTAAGAAAATTTTGTATATACTTGCATTGTACATATTGTTTTTCATTTTTTGCATTGTATATATTCTTTCATTGCATTTTACCTTTTTTATTTTTCTTTTTATATTTTGTTCATCCATTTTATTCTTTATTTTTCTTGCATTTTGTATATATTAGCTTTCATTAAATGAAAAATATAAAAAGAGTCACCATTGTAGTCACGCATACTTTATGCTTTAGTTAGGGCTTGATCTCATATCTCTCTTTCATCTTGTGCTATATTGCCTTAGATTGCATGATTTGATTATTCTTATCACATTTGATATTTAATGTGAGTGTGCTAGTGTGGTTATTTAAGTAGGTTGTTAATTCCAAGTTTGAGGGAGACGTCTTTCGAATTGGATCACTACCGGGTTTCATGTCTACATCACCACGGTATACTCTTTCCATCTTTTCCATTGTTCTCATTGCACATTGAGGACAATGTGCAGTTTAAGTTTGGGGGTAAGGTGTTTTTGTTGCATTCTACTTAAGTTTGAGACTTAAATGCATAATTGAGATTTGAGATTGATGTTAGCGATGATTTTGATCTTTTGAGGACTATATTGCTTAAAATTTAAAAATTACTTGACTTGAGAATCCAATACTCCTTGTATGCCTTGTGGATGCCATTTATGAATAAATTTTTCGAAAGATTGATATCTTGCTTGCATTTGTGGTCCACATCATCTTGATTTTGTGATTATTTTGAGATTCATTATAGGATTCTACACTAGCACAGGTGCACACTAGCATTCATTTGTGGGGTATATGCTTTGTTGATTATTGAATTGGTTATATCCCAATTGAACTAGTAGTGCATTGAAAGCTTTCATTCTTGATAAAGGTGGATTACAACCCCTTTTCACTAAATAGCCGGGATTCTAGCCTCATCAAGCACTGAACTTCTTGCGCCGAAAGGTGGAGGGCCCAAACCTTAGGTTAATAATTGAACTTGCTTACTAAAAAAAAAAAAAAAAAAAATGTGCAAAAGCAATAAAAAGTGAGAACTTCTCTCGAATGGTGAGAAGTGGGAAATGATTAGATGGTTGTTGTCTTGATTTGTAACCTAGTTGATTTGAGCTTGTAAGTCCGTAGAGGTATTTGAATGCCTCATGCCCTAAAGCCGTCTGGTTTGGGAGTCATTGACCTAACGCTCGACCTCATGAATCGCTAGAAAGCTTAATAGATCAACACATTGCACTATGCTTCCATCTTTGATCCTTTATAAAAAAAAAAAATGAAAAAAAAATCAAGTGAAAAGAATAAGTGCACCTAGAACAATAAGCTTTAATAAAAGGTCCACTTTTTATCTTGATGATCGGTACTAGATTTGTGTACTATTTTGAAGGTAAGGATGTGATTAATTCTTTAGTTGGCTAAGATAGCAACACATTGATGCCGGACCACTCAAAAAGGATTTTAGAGTTGTTTTAATTTGCATGATCATTTTCTTAATGTGTGGAGGACCATATTTGCTTGTTTGATGTTGAGATTTTGGGAGATTACTTGAAAAGAGTTGAAAAATTGCATACTTGAGGTAGTTTTCTCCCAATGCTTGTTTGCAATATTGGTACCTTTTCTGAAAGAATGAGCTTAATGTTTATGGGTATCCAGTTTTGGAAACCCTCACGAGACTTCACTCGTCCATAGGGGTAACCTAGGGGTTTAAAAGGCTTGTTGCATGTGCTAAGTGCAATCGTGTTCCCTACGAAAGTGGTGTTATCCATTTATTGTTTCCTAGTTATAGTTGTTTAGTTGTTCATTTCATTTCTTTACTTCGTAGTTCATTGATAGGGACTAGCAATATTTAAGTTTGGGGGTGTGATGAGCGTTGAAAAGTACACTTTTAAACCCCTTAAGCTTGAGTATTCTAGTACTTTTATCTATCTTATTTACCCGTTTTAGTACTTACTTGTGTTTTTGTCTATTTCAGGTCAATAATGTTAAAATGGGCAAAAAATGGTTTCTTAAGGCCTTTTTGGAGTCAAACTAAGTCTTGGAGAGTATTCGGAGCAAAAGGAGGCTGATTTGGAGCAAAAAGAGGCTGATCCTGAAAAGCTACCAAGTGAGATCGATAAAAAAAGTGAGATCGATCAAAGTTGGATCGATTGAAAATCAAAGTTGGATCGATCGAAAATCAAAGTTGGATCGATCGAACATTGCTGGCAGCGAGCTGTCTTATTCCGTGCTCACCTAAAAGTCCACCTATCACATAGTACGGGATTAGATATTTTTGGGGCTATATTCCTGACTTAGTGACTAAGAAAATGACCTTCTATATAAAGGGAAGTGACCCATTTGTAAATGAGCTTTTTATCTTTTTATTTTTTTACATTGTATTTTTTATTTTATCTCTCTAACAAAGTTAGATATTAGGGTTAGAAGAAAAGAGGGAAGTGGAGGCACATCTCAAGATCCATCTCTAGACCACTCTCTCTCTCCATCTCTAGAACTTCAAAGAAGAAGAAGAAGAAGAGGAACAAGAAGATGGAGCCATATTTGGAGCTTGGTTCCATGACCACATCTACCTCCTCCATGATTGGCTAGATCTACACTTAGGGCTTAGATGAGCCCTAAGTCTTGTGTAATCTAAACCCTTGTATTTCTATTTTTGGGGATTTATATATATTGTTGTGATTAGTGTTCTAACCTTGTGAATTTAATGAATCTTGGTATATTTCTATGATTTCTATGGTTTAATTCTTCTTATTAATTCTCTAGTTTGTTTACATGTCTATGTGTGATTAAATTAGGAATTATTTCTTATATGATTCATATGGATTAATTCTTTCTATTGATTCTCTATTTGATTACATGTTGTCTTATGTGTGATTATTTGGGAATTAATCTCTATACTAGATTCTCTATGTTGGTTGCATGTCTATGTGTGATTAATTAAGGATTTATTGATGGCTAAACATGGGTTTTCATTGAATGGGTTTGTTAATTAATTTGATGGTTTATACTTATGCTTGATGGGATGTTCTACAATTTAAATCATGCTTGTAGGTAGGTAGACAATCTATGCTTGCTTAGATATTCCATGGCTTATTATTGCAAATTTCATGATTCTCTAAATTGATGTGTGCCACAATTATTGCTACCTAGATGGGTCATGCTTAAAATTGATGGGTTGTGGTACACTTAGTTTAGGTAGACAATTCATACATAAATTAGATGGTCCATGCTTAATATTGCAATTGGTAGTCGCATTTTGTTCACAACAATGTATTCCCCATTAATGGAAAACAAATGGTTAATTAGATGAGCTTAGTGGTGATTCTAACACCCTAAGTCCTCTCTTCATATCTCTTAAATCCCTATCTCTACTTAGTTTATTTTAATTGTATTTTCATTAATTGAAGTAGTTTGATTATCTCATCAAATCTCTTTTGCAATCTTGTGATACGCAAGAGTTGAAGTTAAATTCCAACACGCATAATCCCTTGGGATGATCCCTACTCACTCTTGCTACGTTAGTAGTAGTGTTGGTAGTGATTTTTATAAATTTAAATTTGATCTAAAAGGCTTTTCTTGAATCGCATATTCACTACATCAATTTGGCGTACAAGGAACGACCGTCGTCTATAATGCTATCGCCCTAAAAACCCACAAAGCACAGATGTTATTTATTTTTGATTTGGAGTCTTGCTTTCAACAATACTAAGTGGTTGTTCAATAAGTTTGAAGTTCTCTAGTTGGGTGAGTGTGAATTAGCCATTTTTAATTTAATAATGCTGCAGCATATATATGCAATGTTAGATGAGGTGCTTAATGTTTGCATCGCATGTGTGCATTAACATACATACGACATCCTAAATGTTTTTGATTTCGCAATTTTTTAGTGATTAAATTGCTTATCTTCACTTCAGTTGAGTTTTGAGCATATTTTGCTTTGCTGTTGCTTAGTGCTCATCTTGTATATATTTAAAATTTATCACATGTATATGATTATAAAGTTAGTGTGTATAAATTTGGTTTATGGTTATATAATTTCTCTCCACTTAACTTATGTTGCATACACATTTTCCTTTTTGCATTTTTTCTGCTTGACAAATTGCCCAGAAAAGCCAGTATACCTTGATTTGGTGATATTACCTATGTAATATACCTTCCTAGAGAAAAAGACTATTTATATCATATACTCCGTATATTTTGCTGTCTAGTAGAAGTATTAGTTTTGAAGTGCGTTGTTTTTGGGAGTAAGATAAAAGAGAGTTGTCAATTAATCCACTATTTTTTTTTTTTTTTGGCTAATATTTTTCACAATAATTCTCTTCATATTAGTGAATCAGCCTCCAAATACACATCACTTGTGTAAAATCTTGTCATTTGTACACATATAGCTTGATGAAACTTCATGTTGATAAGTGCTCAAATGTTGCACATTTTAGCACATAAGTTAGGGTATTGTAGTCCTTTCATCTATCTTTATTTTCCCGTTTTAGTACTAATTTATGTTTTTGTCTATTTCATGTCAATAAGGTTCAAACAGGCTAATTTCGGTCTATTATTAAGGCCTCTTTGGAGTCAAACTGAGTCTTTGTGAGAAGCTGGAGCAAAAGGGGGCTGATGCTGAAAATTGCCTTCTCTGAACAATCGAACTCTGAACGATTGAGCTCTGAACAATTGAACCTTTTGATCTTATCCTCATAACTACTGTCCTTATCCCCATAAATATCTCAGCTTTTGTCCTTATCCACATTATGCGCAGACATGTTATAGTCGATCGAATCAAAGCTCTGATCGATCGAACAAACTCTGAATGATCGAACCATACCTGCGAACGATCGTGCTAGGAGTAGTTTTAATATCAGTTCGGGCTCAAACTTCATGGACGAAGGGGTTATGGGGTTGGACCATTTTTGGGCCTATTCACTATAAGAAATTAAGCTATTAGGGACAGTCTTTTAGTGACGCACTAAAACCCATCCCTAAAGATCTTATTATTAAGGACGGGCAAATTTTACCGTCCCTAATACCAGCCTTTTAAGGACAGTCAATCTGATATGTCACCAAATCCCTAAAACCTGTCCCTAAAAAGGTTTTTTTTTTTGGCACAGCCTATTGAAGACCGTCCCCAATGCCATAAAAAAATAGTGCCAAACTTTAGCGCTTCATTTTTCTTTTGTTTGGCGCAAAAATGAAATAATATAAAATTATTTCATTTTACAACATAGGGAAGCCCATTACACTACGTTGTTTTAATCTAAAAAAAATTAGTATCATTTGCAAACCTCTTCCACCGTCACAACTCACAAAGCTCTTCAGTTCTTCACCTCTTCTGTTCTTCTCAACGTCGCCCTGCTCTACGACCTAATAGCAACCTTTGGAAGATTTTTTTCGTTTCCAGCCAATCCAACCTCCTAATCTCAGTAGAGGCAAGCAAAAGTTCATTCATTCTTTTCCTGTTTGCCATTTTTTATGATCCTCACCCTAGTTTTTTCTAGGGCTTCGAAATTACAAAAGGCCTATTGAAGGGGTAAATTACAAATCTGGAAAAGGCTTGTCGTCTGAGTCTGAATCACTGTGGGAAATCATACAGGTTGTTTGAACTTTCTATCTTTATTAATTTATTCCTTATATACATATAAATATATATGTATATATATCCTTTATATATATATATGCAATTCATTCATCAGTTCAAGGACATATGAAGAATTTGTGTACTATTTTCATTTTTATTATGTTGTTTCTTTACTCATTCATTATTATACAATAGATTTAATCACTCAACCTTCTGCTACTTCTTTTACTGGCGGCTATCTACTTGCCGAGAGGTATGTTTCACTCTCTTCTTCGTATCTCAATTAACTAACTTAGATTACTTCTCTATCTATACTATTTGTTTATTTATTTAAATATTTTTTTGAGGTTGATTTAGGTATGAGTTTTATAGAATTTCTATCTAATATTTGAGCTGCACTTTATTTATTTTTTTGGAAAAACAAAGAACAGTGGGCATAGATAGCGCCTCTTTTACCTCTTCTGGTGTAGAGCATAGAAAGTGCACCTATGAAATTTGCGGTTGATAAGAGAAGTAATCTTGGTTTTGATTCTATTTCTATATGAATAATTATCTTTAGTGTCTGTTATTGGCTTGTTGGTTTCAAATTTATCTTATAAATATGCTAAACTCAACTTCTTTTTTGAATATTATTAAGGTTGGTGCAATATTAAATCTTAGAGCAATGAGGTGGACCATGCTGAAGAAAAGGAAATCCTATAAACGCTGCTACCTGATAGGTTTGAAAGGAAAGGTGAGAGAAATCAGAGTGGTTATTCATTCTGATGACCAAATACTTGTGTGGTTCTATCTTTGTTTATTAATTTTTGCAATTTTTGATTAATTTTAGGGACAATGTCTACAAATTCCTACCTCTGCCCCTGCAAGTGAGGGCCTCCACCCCTATTGGATTTATTTATTTATTTTAAATATATATATATATATATATATATATATATTGAACACTTAGAATTTTTCTAAAATTATAGTAATGCCCTTGCTGAATTTTTAATATAGCCCTCTGTTATGGTTATATGAATCTTTTTTATATCTTGTTGTTATTCAAGGTCTCCTCCACCTCAGACACATAATTTTGTGGTTTCATCACTGTTTCGTATAGATTTCAAGAATGAGTTTGATCAGAATTGATAATTGGTGCTATTATATACTTATTGCAGGTCATATCCACTAGCTGTTCACCCAAGATTGAGTTTGATCAGAAGTTTAGGTATGATATATTTCTTACTCCTCTTATTATATTATATTTTATTTGTTTATTTATCAATTTCTGGATTTTAATGCTTTATAAGTTTATATTACCTAGATATTTAGTTCTAATGCTCTTATTATGTTTTATTTATCAATTTCTAGATTTTAATGCTCTATAAGTTTATATTACCTAGATATTTAGTTCTAATGCTCTCCGTCATTTATCTATCGTGATTATGCATATATATGGATGGATATATGTATATGCATATGTGTATATATGTACTTGTGTATGTTTGTGTATTGTATTTTTATAATTTTACATTTATATTTATATAGATGGATATATGTATATGCATATGTGTTTATATTTACTTCAGATTTTATTTATTTATCAAAAGCTGTTACAGAGAAGTACATCTTTCTCATACCCCTAGAGATGAGTTTCTCTGACTAAATGCTTCTGCAAAATAAGATTTATAATCATTGAACTGAATCACAATCCTGTGGAATGCTTCATTGCTTGAATTCCATAGGGAAATATACAATATTCTATTTATTTTAGCTATATTACTTGGTTAGGAAATCATTTTTCTATTTTCCTTCTTGTTTGTATGGGTTGTACCCTTGTTTTGGCACCTTTTAATGATATTTTACTACTTCCCCCCTCCCTACCAAAAAAAGAGAGAGCGTATGGATTAAGTACATATATTTTGTTTTGCATATATTTTTTTTAAAGGACCATTTTTCTTTATCAATAATAGGCCTTGCATATATTTTCACTACTCCCCCACTACAGCTGTGATCGTCTCCTCATCCTAAATAACTTATTTGTTCTTGCATAGACACAACATATCTTAGATTAGGTGAGCTACTTGTGCCAAACATACCCCATTCGCCCTCTTCTATATATAACTCCTACTACATTGCCATGTTATCAACATACTATATACACTACTCTAGCTAAATATATGATCAACAACTATTTCTAGTTAGCAAATATAATTAAAATGGCCATAATTACAGTAGTAGCTTGTCTTTTGCTCTTAATGAGTGGCTCCTCATATGAGTTGTTAAGATAGAACAAACTATAAATATAGATGAATCTTAGAGATAATAAGTTAAAATTAATTCAACCAAAGAATTTGTATTAAGTAGGATTATTAGAAAGTGCTAGTTCATTAATAGGAACAATTACATAAAATATGGTTAGTGTAATTACAAAAAATGATGTAGCAGATCTTCAAATAATAAATGATAGTACACAAAGAAATTTAAAACAGGATTTTCAGTTAATTCATTTAGGAGTTATAGTAGATTTACTAATATAAAGCAAGCTTTATTAGGAAGTATGGAATTAGATATGAATAATAACTATCAGATAACTTATATTCAACCAGGTTTTATGTTAGCATTTAAAGATTTTCATAAAATTATAAGAATAACAATATAGTCAATAGGATGTCAGATGAAACCAGGAGAAAAGAATTTATTAGTAATGATAGGATTTATGGTAGATTAACAAAAAGTGCTAAAGTCAGAACTAAGTTAGACTTTGAAAATAATTTAGCAATACTTAGTCAGAAAGGTATTCCTATAATTCAAGCTAATAAAATTAGTAGTCAAGCTTTGCAAGGATTAGAATGGGATTTTGATAAGATTATGAAAGCTAAAACAAGACAGATAGAAGCGCCACAATTAGCACACCTTTATAGTGTTAATGGACAGACAAACTGCAACTTTTTGTGGCACTCACCCTCCAACACTATGCGGACTTCAAAATTGTAATTTCAAGTCCGAGATTATATATATCTTTCACAATGTGTATTGGACAAAAGTACACAACAAAAATTAAAATGGTTGATACTTGCTTTTACATGTTATAGCAAGAAATGGTTTTTCATTTAAAGCCTACTTATACCTTATACATTATACAGAACCTAAAAGAAGTAGGTTCATGGTTAAGAAATGGAATTTTAATCAACATTCTCCTATTTACTTCATTGTGATTCCTAAATTATATCATTGTCTTGTTTATATCCTCAGTGTAACTTCAGAGAGTTATTGACGTAGCAGCTGTCAAAACAATGAATATTTTAGAATCAATTAATTCCAAATTTAATCATGCTACTTGTCAAAAGTTGAGATGCATGCAAATAGACATTAATCATGATGAAGGTGTGCCAATAAATTAGTATGAATAAAGCTTATATAGTGACTCCACATAAGTTTGATGTTTACCATTAATTATATCCCAAAAATGATGAAACCATTAAATTGATCAGATTGGGACAAGTTGATGAGCCTAAAATAACCCATCACTCATTGCATTGGTCCGAGTTCATTTCATTTGATTTGCTGAGTAAAAGGCTTCCAATGCTGATCCCAAATACTGAAATTATGTGCTTGTCTGTCCCAGTTATACTAGTGTATTGATCTTTACTTACCATAATCTTTGTTGATACTCCTTATGCGCAGCCAGCGCGATAGCAAAGTTTTTCATAGATGAGAAGAGCAGAAGTGAATAAGTCAGTGATGTCCTATATATAAGTAAGATCCTTTCTTGACTTTCACTGAAAGAGCTTTAGTTAGCTCTTTTTCTTCCAAAAATAGAAGTGAAGAACGAATCTCTCACTCATTCCTATTTATCTATATATATACATAAAAAAAAAAATTTATCTTGACTTAGTTTATAGTTAATTTTTGATTAAGCTACTGATGTTTAACACTACATTAATCTCAATTTTAGGATGAAATTAAACAGATTTTTTCACAAGTTTTTCACAATTCTGATGGTACCAATCTTATCATAAATGATGTTAAGATAGTGGAAAACCAATTAGGTATCAGAAAGGGATATCGTCATTCAGAAAAGGTTTTATAGCTCCAAGCCATCAACGTGCATTCTCATCTTTTGAAGAGGCTTCTAAAAAAAGGGTAAAAAATGTTGAAGAAAATAATGCACAACTTAGGGAGAAAGTTACAAATTTAGAGGAGAAGTTGGATACATTTCAGCACCTCCTTCAGTAGCAATAACACCTCCTTCAGCAGCAACAACAGCAGCAATAGGAGCTACAACAGCTCCTTGAGTAGCAATAACAGAACCAATAGCCGTCACCATGATTCCACCAATAACAGCATGCCCCACCAAGCTGGTATCAACAGCCGCCAACATGGTGGCAATTTCAACACCACCTACGAGCACCACCACAACAATCACCTGAATGAACTATAAAGATAATTATTTGGTAGATATATTTTGGAGCTTTTTGATGGCTAGCTAGCTGATTTCTAACTATTTTGGTAGTGTATTTTTTTGCCAACATTTTCATGATTACATTCAGTTTAAAATGATGTTTTAAGTTTTGAGGATGTTTGGAACCATTTGATGTTAAGGCAGTTAGTAGATACTTTTAGCTCTTCTTTACAAAACTGGAGAATTTGTAATTTCATCATGAGATTAAGAGCTTATTTATTGGCACCGTATTGTGGTCATAATCTATTTTTTTCTTTCTAAAATGATATTGTGGATGAATGTACTTATTAGTTTCGATGTTTTGGTTTATAAGATGGATGTGGTTTAATAGTGTTTTTAGAATACAAATCCAGCAGAGCAAAAACAAAATAATAATAATAATAATAATAATCAAGTATTAGGGACAATTTATAACTATCACAAATTTAATAATAATAATAATAATAAATCCTATTAGGGACAATACATATTGTGCCTAATAAGTATTGTATTAGGGACGGACAACAAAGCTGTCCCTAATATATCAACTATTAGGGATAGTAAATACCATCCCTAATTAATCAAAGGGGTACGGTCTTATTTGGAACAGTAAGTCCATCCCTAATAAATCAAAGTGGGCGGGCCTTTTCGGGACGGTAAGTCTGTCCCTTAAGGTTGATTTTTTTAGGGACGGATAATTTTTACTGTCCCTAAAAATCTTTTGTAACACAACTATTAGGGACAGTCTTAGGGCTTTTAGGGACAGATTTGATCGTCACTAAAAACCTAATTTCTTGTAGTGATTTCTGACTTGTTTGGGACTCCAAGGGCCACATATAAAAGGCCAATTAAACCATTTGTAAATATTATGTTTTAATTTACATTGTAATAGTTAGAAAGAGAAAGAGAAAGGTGATGATGTTTTAATGTTTTAATTTCTTGTAGAAGAAAAAAAGAGTGGAGGCACTAAGAACACCGAGAACCTCTACATACACTCTCTCTAAAGAGCTTCAAAGAAGAAGAAGATGATGATGATGCCATGCTTAGAGGAGGACCTTGTTGACACCTTGAACACCTCTACCACCATGGGCTAGATCTTCACTTAGGGCTTGGATGAGCCCTAAGTCTTGTGTAATCTAAACCCTTGTATTTCTATTTTTGGAGATTTATATATATTGTTGTGATTAGTAGTTAGCCTTATGATTGTTGATTTAACTCTTTTTAGTGATTCTCGATTTTAATTACATGTTGTCTTATGTGTGATTATTTGGGAATTGATCTCTATACAAAAATCTTTATGTTGGTTGCATGTCTATGTGTGATTAATTAAGGATTTAGTAATGGCTAAGCATGGTTTTCATTGAATGGGTTTGTAAATTAATTTGATGGATTATGCTTACACTTGATTGGTTATTCTACAATTTAATTCATGTTTTTAGGTAGATAGACAATCAATGCTTGATTTGATACTCCACACTTATTATTGCACAAATTCTATAATTCTCTAGATTGATGTGTACTCTCATTAGAAACATTTGCTAACTAATTGATGGATTATACATTTGTCTTGGTTGGTTGTTCTACACTTAGTTTACTTATTGGTTAGGTAGTGTGATGGCCTTGGTTTTCCAAACCAGTGCGTCCTGTGAAGAATCGTAGTTTGACCCGATAACGGATTCGAAATGCAGAAGCTAAAATAGAAAACAAGTCTCTAGGGATATACAACATCCCTAGGACACCAAAGTGACCTTCCATGAGGCCACATAACTCCACAAGAACCGACGCAGAAGAAAAGATCAGAAAAAGACCAAATAAGCCCCCAAGGGCAAAATAATCTTTTTATATAGAAGCAACGTCTCTAGAAATGTACATCATTCCCAAGACACATCCGTGACTTCCTACGAAGTCACAGAACTCAGAAGAAAGCATAGCGGAAGCAAAATAAAAAGGAAAACGGAAAAGTTTAGTCCCAAGGGCAAAATAGTAATTTTCAGCAATATTTGGGTGCTATCGAGCACACCATTGGAAAGACAATGAAAAATTAATGAACTTAGACTCAAGAATCACTTGATTCGAAATCCGGACGGAAGAGAAAAGTCAAAACAAAGTTTTGATGTCATTGCGGACGTGAATAGTATTTTGACAGCAGTGAATAGTGTTTTGATAGCAATGAATAGTGTTTTGACAGCAATGAATAATGCTGGGCAGAAAAATGCTAAAACCGGGGTGCTGTTTTAAGGCACTAAATGACGTTTTTTGGAAAAACACGAAGAAGAAACCCCCCTCAAAATAATTTTTCCAAGATGACTATGTTGAAAGAAATATTTATTTTTGATGTGAAATTCCCAAAATGCCCTTATAACAGACTTCTTCAAAAAATGCATGAGCGCACAGAAAATCAGATTTGACGCGGGATTTTCAAGACTGAGATGGAATTTTCCGGAAATCACCTTTTCTATGTAATATGTCAAGGCCAGAATTTATTTTTCAAAGGAAATTCCCAAAATACTCCTAAATCAGTTTAGGTCAAAAAAAGAAAAGAAAAGGGTAAACAACTTTGCACCAAGTGTTCATTTGACCCTAAATAGTGTTTTGTGCTAAAACGATCATGCATGCAAATGTAAATAGTGATTTGAAGCACGCGAGAATGGTCTGTGATTCCTAAAAATGCCCAATGCAAAATACGACCTATCCGAACCTCAAAATGCAAAAAAAATGCTTTAAATGGAAAACTTGAGACCAACAAACATCCATTTTATACAAATGTGATATTTTGTCCAAGGTGAGCATTCGCACAAACATAATACACATATTTACATGCATTCTAATGACCTACGGCCTCAATGGTCGCTAAATACAAAATATCACCTATTAAACCTCAAATTTTGCCTAAAATAGCTTTTAAAAAAGAAACTTGAAACTAAAAATTATCAAATGGTTTCAAATGACCATTTGATCCTTCTCCATACTTCATACATAAATTAAGAGACCCTATGGTAGTGCTAAAGTGCATTTCCCACACCCCATGCAAAAGTAGTGAAGTTAAAACATGCCATTTTTCTATTTTTCAAATAAATCACTTGAAAGTAAAAGTACTTAGAATACAAAATAAATGTCTTTGGCCCATTGCCTCATTACATACATGTCAAATACATCCCAAATGGCACACTTAAGTGCTCATTACATATTTAGAATCAAATATACAAGTTTTGACATTTTAAATAAAAATAACATTTCATGCTAACATTTGCATGAATTAAGTACTTCAAGTCATACAAAACGACTTAGAGATATTATGCATCCCGAAACCACGTCTTCTTGCCTGAAACAGGTCGCATTCAGCGAGGGGTGAATAACCTGTATTACTCGTAAGGAATGAGCATGCATAGACTTAACTTTTTACAAGTTTATCACATTAATATGAAACAATTCATAAGGTTCATGCCACCCAACATCTATGTCAAAAAATGAGACTCAGGGATCATCCTAAGCTACTTTAAAACATTCCTAGTATAAACCACAATATTTATGCAAGTAAATAACATATGAGCATATAGTGTAACGCAACTAGACATAGGTATTCAAAGTTATCAACTTGGAATCTAAAATGCGAAAACAACCGAAACGGTTCATGCCACCTAACGTCTATGTTCTAAATGAGTCTAAGGAATCATCCTAGGTTACATTGAACAATTAAAACACAAATAACAATTTTAATGCAATTTTAACTAACATTAAAACTTCTAATACAACACCTCAAGGCATAGATTATCAAAGTTAACAACTTGAAATCTCAAATACGGAACCAATAAGTTATAACAATTTAGTGCTATTAACTTGTATTGAAAAGCAAGGCATGCAAGTATACTAAACACATGTATACTAAAACTAATTGAAATGTTAAACACCACATCACAAGCTACAAATAACCCATATTAAACAACATGGAATTGAATGCGAAATCAAGTAGTGGCGTAAAGACAAGGACATACTGTAGACACTAAAAATTTAGTGGGCTTTGGTTTTGACAAATTGACCCATTATGGGCTTAATGTTTAATTAAGTTATTTAATTGGCCTAAGCTTGGTCCATTTAAATTATTTAATTAGCCCAACCCAGATGGTTAAATAAACAGATAATTATTCCTAATAAAATATATTTGGAATAATTATTTTTAAGGATAATTATCATAATATAACCGGTCCGGCCCAGTTATAATTTTATCCTTATCAGGAGATGACACGTGTCATCATCCTATCAACCCAAGAAGCCTATAAATAGAGGCCTGGAGGAAGAAAGAGGGGGACAAATTCAGAGTCTAGAAATCCAGAGACTCAGAAATCCCGAGGGCCAGAAATCCCGAGGGCAAACCTGAAGGCGAAGAACACCAAGCACATCCAAAGTCGTGCCGTTCTTCACCAAATTCAATAAATTCTCTCCTCTCTGAAGACGAAGAACAACAAGCACATTCAAAGACGTGCCGTTCTTCATCAAATTCAACAAAGGACACAAATTCAGAATTCAGAAGTTCAGAAATTCAGACACAAATTCAGAATTCAGAAGTCCAAAAATCGAGAGACTCAAAAGTCAGAGACACAAAGTCAGAATTCAGAAATCTAGAATTCCAGAGAGAAATACAGAAAATCTCATCCCCAACATCCAAATCCAAAAGCGAAGAACACCAAGCACATCAAATCATGCCATTCTTCATCAAATTCCACAGTGATCAACAACAAGCATTGCCAAAGACATGCCGTTCTTCATCAAATTCTAAGGTGATTCAAGAATAAGCTCGTGCAACCCTTGGATCCAACCAACAACAAAAAGGAGATCGAATCAGAGGACCAGTTTTTTATTTTGTAAAGAATATTACAGAGGATTGTACCTCAATTTCTCAAATTAATAAATTATATTATTTGCTCCATATTTTGTTTCTATTTGTAAACTTACAAAATTTGTGTGTACACATACAGTCTCAATGACCAAGCAAGTGATCTCAGGTTACTAGCCCTCAAGGTGCTACCTAATACGCACTAAACCCAGAATAAAACGGTATATTGGTGTTTTTGGGTTACTAGCCCTCAGGATACCACCCAGTGCACACTATATGTTGTAGGGGGAGATCTTATCCCTCATAGTAGAGCCATGACCTAGCTGTAACATATTTCAATGTCCGTGTAAGCCTTCCTATAATCAATAAGTTGTGCATCAAGGTATAATACATATACACAATATATTAGTCAACTACTATGCACAAACAAGTCAAGTAAAACACACAATATTCATCCTATGTCTTCAAGCTACAATGGTTTACAACATGTCAAATATATAATGTGTATATAAACAAGTTAATATTATAACTTCTACTCTTGGAATGCTATAATGTAATCATACAAAAAGTCCAAAATTTATAAATTAAGTATGAAAACAACATCAATGCCTAATTACCTCAATGGAAGCATATAATTGGAATTTAATTAAATTAAATAATTAATTTCTCAAGATTACCAAGCAACTCCAAATATTCTAAAAATGATACAGGTCGAAGGTTATGGCAAGGCTTAGTTTAATATCACATTACAAATTATTTCTAGCTAAATTACAACTAGGTAAATTAAACTTCATACAAGAAATTAATTAAATAAAGTTCTCAACACTCATTTAAATATTCTCATTTTTATATATGTTAATGAACATATTGAGGCCTAATTTTTTTATCACATTGCAAGTTCATTCCATACTAGGTACAACCATGTGAATTAAATTTCATATAAAGAAAATAATTAAATAAAAGTCTCAAAACCTATTCAAATATTCTTAATTTAATGTATATGATAGAACATGCCAAACTCATCAACAATATCAAGTTAAAAATCCAATTAAGTGAGTAGAACACTTAAAAAAAATTAATTAACCAAATTAATTAATTTTCTCTAGATTTTAAAACGACTCCAAATATTCTTTAATTCACATATGTTAAGGAACATACCAAGGCTTAATTTAATATCCCATTACTAGTTGATTCCATGCTAGTTACAACCATGTGAATTAAATTTTCATACAAGTGAAAGATTAAATAAAAGTTTCAACACTTATTCAAATACTCCCAATTTAATATATGTTAATGACCAGATCAAGGCCTAATTTATAACATGCCACAATTTAATTCCAAGCTATATACAACCATGAGAATTAAATCTTACACAAAGAAAATAATTAAATTAAATTCTAAATAAAATACATT